AGGGAGAAGCAGGCTCCATGCAGGGAGCCCAAAATGGTACTCGATCCCGGGTCTCCAGGATCAGGCCCTGGGCCGAACGCGGCGCTAAACCACTGAACCACCTGGGCTGCCCCACAATCCTATTTTATAAATAACAATTACCATGTGAATGTTTATTCAGCAGATGCCTGAGTATGTTCTATGTACCAGGCAGCATTGTAGGAACCCAGACAATCCCTGACCTCAGGGAGCTGACACTTCAAAGAGAAAGGGACAAACACAGACACACGACTTCAGCTGAGACTATGTAGCCAGAGGAATGCGGCCAAATGACTAGGTGGGGACAGTGGCCTCTTTAGCTACAGCAGTATGGCCTCTCTGAGGAGGTGACATGCAAGGTGCTCAGAGCTGAAGGACTCAAAACAGTGTGGCCACGCCAGGTACCAGCAGAGAAACATTTCCAAAGTGTATATTAGAAACAAAGGCTAGGGGATCCCTGGGTGGCTCAGCGGTTTAGCGCCTGCCTTTGGGCCAGGGCGCGATCCTGGAGTCCTGGGATCGAGTCCCAGGTCGGGCTCCTGGCATGGAGCCTGATTCTCCCTCCTCCTGTGTCTCTGCCTCTCTTTCTTTCTCTCTCTCTCTCTCTCTCTCTCTCTTTCTCTCTTTCTCTCTCATATAAATAAATCTTTAAAAAAAAAAAAGAAAGAAAAGAAACAAAGGCTATAAGATCAGAAACAAGCTTGGTGCACCCACAGGGCAGAAGACAAGTCAGTGTGCCTGGAAAAGAGATCAGAGGGTGGCACGGCTGGGTCACAGACCACCTCACAGGCCTGGCTGAATTGGGGTTTTGTTTTTGAGCAATAAAAAGCTGAAAAAGAGTTTCAGGAGGGGACTAACATTAGCAGAATTTGCTTTATGAACATTAGTCTGGGGCAGCCCCAGTGGCCCAGCAGTTTAGCGCCGCCTTCGGCCCGGGGTGTGATCCTGGAGACCCAGGATCAAGTCCCACATCGGGCTCCCTGCACGGAGCCTGCTTCTCCCTCTGCCTGTCTCTGTCTCTCTCTCTCTCTGTCTCTCTCTCTCTCTCTGTCATGAATAAATAAATAAAATCTTTTTTTTAAAAAAAGGAATATTAGTCTGGCTGCCAGGTAGAACATATAAACTTGCAAAGCTATATACAAATAAGTATGTAAATGTATTTGAAAAGGTCTGGAAGCCTGCATCCCAAGTTGTTAACTGGTACACAAAGAGTGGGATTGAGGGAGACATACATGGGGACAAAGGGACAAAATGGTCAACTCACATTTCTTCATTTACATGCACGCCATTAGAGTTTTTCATTAAGAATATACGTGTGTATTACTGGATAAGGGGTGGTCGCCCCTGAAGATATTCCAAGGAGGCTCTTCAGGATGTGATGTGATTCCCAGGAAGGCACAGTCTCCTGCTCAGTGTTACTGTAGCCAGGACACAGCATGCCAGGGAGGCTGCTTCAGGACAGAGGGCAGATGAGGTGTTTGCTCACTGTTCCCCTCCTACCTGAAACCCCTCTGCCTTCTCCACCTGGCACATAGATCCCTTTTCATTTTTCAGGATGACAGCTCAAGTGTCACTGCCTCCCTGGGGAGTATTAGCCCTGCCTGGATCCATTCAAACATCTACCGTGTCACTTTTAGAATGACATTGTAGTCATTTGTTTCCTAGTGAACTCCTTGAAGGCAAGAGCTGTCTCTCATCTGCTTCTGTATCTGCAGCATGTGGTACAGGGCCTAGCATGTAGCAGGTGCCTCACAAATATTCTTTAAGTAACATTTTAAATCTTGGCCTTTGTCTGCTTCAGCACTAAACACAAAGCTATCCACTTAGTTACTGACTAGACCCCTCTCTCTGTCCACACTGGGGCATTGGCTGACCTTGGGAATCTACACCGTTAAGAGCCAAAATGGAGGCAAAAGACCTACGGTATGGTCTAGACTTGCATTTTCACAAAAGCATTAACAGGAAAGCTGTGGGGAAAAGTGTTCCAGACTAGAATACATATGAAAAAAAGCTGCATCCTCTGCTACCCCAGTGAAGAGTAACCACGCATATTAGCAAAACAGAAGCCCTTCAAAGTCCTTCTTAATCCAATGTTCCTCACACTGTTTTGGTTAAAGAACGCTTTTCTGTTGCATACCTATTAAATCTTGCAGAATAATAACAATAGCAGTTAACATTTACTGAGTACCTATTATGTGCCACGTGCTATACTTTCTCATTATCCTTATTTTACAGTTGAAGATACTGAGACCCAGAAAGCTTAATAACTTGTCCAATGTCTGAGAGTTAGATTCTAGAAAAGCCCGGGTTTGAACCTGGGCAGTCTCACTCCAGTTAGATTCAATCTTAACCACTATGCGATCTAGCACTCCAGAATACAGTTGGCGGAATGTAGTCCAAGAAACACTGATCCAGACACAAATAGAGTTTTGAAAAGCTGCAGTGCAAAAACAAATATGCTTTGCCTCTCTAGGCTCTTCTTGCAGATGCAAGAAGTTATACAACAGTACTCCACTATAAATCAAGTTCAAATCATAAACCAGAATGAAATACACTACTCTGTACAACCTGACTCAAGTCTAAACATAAATTACCAAACGAGTCTGTCTACAATTCAACTCTAACTCTTAAGTATTTTTCATTCCTCTGATGCCTATTTATCATGTCAGAACTTTGAACGCTGATGATTTTTGGAGGCATTTATATGGCACAATAAAGACCAATTCACAGTGTATGTTTGATTGGTCTTTCAGGTTGGTAGATTCTAGCAAAACTTGTGACCAATAAAAGCATTTACAACCCTGGAAACAAATACTGACATTGATCGCCTGTTGATGTTTGCCAAGGAAGCCAAGACAATTCAATGGTGAGGGGACTCTTTTCAACAAATGGTTCCGAGAAGTCTATGTCCATATGCAAAAGAATGAGGTGGGATGCCTTCCCCTCATACTATATTCAAAAATCAGCTCAAAATGGATCAAAGCCCTAAATTTAAGAGTTGAAACTATAAAACTCATAGAAGACACAGGAGCAAGTCTTTGTGACCTCAGATTAGGCAAAGGATCCTTAGACATGACTCCAAAAACACAAATGACAAAAGAAAAACAGATAAATTGAACTATATCCACATTAAAACACTGGATTTCAAAGGACACCACCAAGAGACTAAAACAACAATCCAGAAGATGACAAAGGACTTACGATCTAAAATATACTAAGAACTCTTAAAAATTAGCAATAAAAAAATAAGGGACTTATGATCTAAAATATATTAAGAACTCTTAAAAATTAGCAATAAAAAAATAACCCAATTGAAAAAAATTAGCAAAGGATTTAAATAAGTATTTCTCCAAAAAAGATGACAAATGGCTAAAAAGCACCCAAGAAGATGCTCAAATCATTAGCCATCAGAGAAATGCAAATCAAAACCATGATGAGACATCCCTTCATACCCACTAGGACGGCTAGAATACAAAAGACCACAAGTGTTGGCAAGGGTGTGAAGTTGGAACCCTCATACCTTGCTAATGAGAATGTCAGATGGTACTGTTGCTTTGGAAAACAGCTTGGCAGTCCCCAAAATGTTAAACATGGATTTATTACCACATGACAGCGATTCTGCTCCTAGGTATATACAACCTACATATGAAAACATACAGCCACAAAAAAATTTGCTCATAAGCAGTATTAATCTTAATACCTAAAAAACTGAAACAACCCAAGTGTCTACAACTGATGAACAGATAAAGAAAATATGGCATATCCATACTGGGGAATATTACTCAACAATGAAAGGCAATGAGGTACTTATTTGTGCTAGGAGGGATATGAGCCTGAAAACACAATGTTGCATAAAAGCAGCCAATCACAAAAGACCACATAGTGTACTACATGAAATGTACATGAAATAAACAGGAAATGTCCAGCACAGGCAAATCTACAAAGCCCTAAAGTAGACAGTGCTTGCCTAAGGCTGCAGGGGAAGGAGAAGGAGGGGTAATGACTGCTAATGGGTATAGGGTTTCTGTTTGGAAGGATGAAAGTGTTCAGAAATTGACCATGGTAGGGAATGCACACTTCTGCAGACATACTGAAACCCACCAAATTGTACACTTTAAATGGGTGGACTGTATGTGAGTTCTATCCCAATATGGCTGTTGTTTTTTAAGTTCTCAGGGAAGCACATCATCTGTAACTGCTAATGGATTTTAGTGAACAGTTACGGAGCTTCAGCTCCCAGAAGCAACCACTTCACTCAAACAAACCAGAAATATCTCACATAGTAGTACTCCTGCTGCTTCCTGCACTTCTTGTTGGGTCTCCTGTTAGACCTCTTTGTACTCCTTCCTCTCTTCCTTTTCAGCACTTACCACAATCTGGGGTATCTTTGCTTGTGAGATTCTTTAACGTCTACTCTCTGGCTAGGCTGTGAGCTCCATGAGGGCAGGACCATGTTTGTTCATCTCTGTATTACTGGTGTCCAGCAGCACCTAATAGAGTCAGTTCTCAACTATCTGCTGAAGAAATATATGTCTAGGGCACTTGGGTGGCTCAGTGGTTGAGCATCTACCTTCAGCTCAGGTCGTGATCCCGGTCCTGGTCCTGGGATCAAGTCCCACATCGGGCTCCCCGCAGGGAGCCTGCTTCTCCCTCTGCCTGTGTCTCTGCCTCTCTCTGTGTCTCTCATGAATAAATAAATAAAATCTTTAAAAAAAAAAGTGTATGTCTACCACCCAGTCAACCAGATCCAATTAGACTCAACATTTTCTCCTGTTACCAGATCAAAACACCATCAGTAGCTTACAAACTGAGTCTGTTTCATTCAGGGTGTTACTAGGTTGAATGCCAAAGAAATAAGCACCGGGCTGTACAGGGGTGAGGAGGGAGAGGGGAGGGAGGCAGAGGGCAGGAAGAGAAGCAAAAGAGTAGCAGAGGTACTGGCAGGAGGAAGGACAAATGCTCAGGTGGGAAGACAAACTTACTTTTCTAGGTTGGCCATCTGCTTCACAGCTTCTACAGCCCCTGGTAGAGGCTCCAGGTCAAGAAAGAAATTTTCTGATTCCCATATGCTAATGGCCTTCTCCTAAGAAGATGAGAGAGAAGTGGGTGACTTCCAGAATACTCAGCACCGTGCTTTACCACAGGGATGATGGCGCAGGTGGGAAGAGCTGTTGAAAAGAATGTGAGCTTCCCACCTTCCCCCCTCACATACCCAAGGACATATCCTGGGGAAGCCAGAGGATCACACAGAGCATGTGTGTGTTCCCCTCCTCTCCTGGAGATCTGACTTCTGCAAGGATCCAGCAGAGACCAGCTAAGGGGTGAGGGGCAATGGATTTTGAAGCCTGCTCTGCTTCAGGCTCAGCTAGAGCCATCAGGGCCAAAGCAAGTCATCATGAATCATGCACTTGCTTGATTCTAACAGCCAGAGGCATCATAGAGGCTCTGAGGTTGGATCAGGTTTTGTCATGGCACTAGAGTATTTAAATTCAAGAGCTGGAGGAACTCGGAGATTTTTTTTTTAAGATTTTATTTATTTATTCATGAGAGACACAGAGAGGAAGAAACACAGGCAGAGGGAGAAGCAGGTTCCATGCAGGGAGCCCAATGTGGTACTCGATCCCAGGACCCTGGGATCACACCCTGAGCCAAAAACTCAACCACTGAGCCATCCCGGCATCCTAAACTCAGTGATTGAGTACTGCTGTGCCATGTGTGATAAGGGGGTCAGGAAGGGCAGATGGAAGGTCAATTGAATAGAACTCCAGGTTCCTGACCCATATCAACTAGGACAGCTCTTTTACCTGTTTTATGCATTGGTGTGTCAATAAGTACTTGGTTTGAAAAGCATTCTCCTGCTTCTAAAGTTTGAAAGCCAAAAATCCAGACCCTCATTTTTCATATAAGAAGATCAAGGCTCTGAATGGGGAAGGGATTTACTTAATATCACACAGCGAAACAGTGGCATTACTGAGAACTGAACACCATCTCCTACCTCCAAGGCTACATGTTTTTACCTTATGTCACTGGGCTAAAATCAAGTTTGCAGAATGCCACACTTTTCCAGGCCCAGAACAAAGGGAGGGAAGACAAACTACGTCCTCCAAGGAACAAGAACCTAAATCCCATGTGCGCTGTTACAGAAGTGTCTCTGCCAGGTTAGAAGCTGCACACTCCAGAACCAGTGCCACTACCATGTCACACTCACAGGTGGAATACCCGGAGATCACACCAGCATTGTTCTTGTGAGCTGTGTGGGATGAAGCACATGAGTACTGATTGCTAGTATCATCCCACAAGGGTAAGAATTACTATCCCCAGTTTGATAAGGAAACAGGCTTATTACAAAGAATTTTTTTTCAAGGCCCCTTATGGGTGATATTGCCAGAACTTGAATCACACAGAGGCAGTATGGACCGGTGGAAACCACACTTAACGGAAGCGTAAGAAGTCCTGGCCTTGGCTGTGTGATCTTGGACTAAGCACCTTACCTCAGTAATAAGCATCCCAGCATCCCCTCCCTCCTTCACTAAGGTTGGCCCTGAAACTCTGGTCAAGGTACTTCCTCTCTCTGGGCTGAGTTCCTCAACTGTCCTAACAGTGTAGGATTCTAAATCGGTTAAAATGAGCTTTGCCTTCCACCTCTGCCATGATCACCTCTCAGAGTCCTACAAAGATCAAAGGGGATACACATAGAGTGGTATTTTGTAAAGCAAAAATGCCTACATAATTAAGGAGGGTTGGTTCATCATTTGTTTTCTGACTATAGGTGCTGGGCAAGATCAGCCAAGGGGAGACCCAGGGATGTCCTGCTGTGAGCTATGCTGGGGACACAAGGCAGGTGTTCATTTATTAAAATCCCATTTCCTGCAATGTTCCCAGAAGCAGAATTCAGCAGTCACTTCCAGAGCACTGCCTTCTTAGCGTCCCAGGAGCTCTGTTCCTTTGCCTCATCCTTAGAAAATGGTAAAATTACCTCCTTAGATCTAGAGTCTGCACATCAGTACAAAAGGACTTGCAAGAACCACTGTCCTTTTCAGAGTTGGGGTGGGCTTTATTTCCTTACCCCAAGACACTCCTGGGAGGAAATAAGGCACCCAGACTGCCAATACTGTGCACTGTCTATAAATGAACACCCACATCAATGTCTGTTACGGAGTCTGTTACTGAGGCTGCAAAAATAACTAGGGTATTCTCTCCCATTTGAAATTGGCAATCAGATATTAGAGCTGGGAGAAATGAGCACACAGAACTCTGGGGAAGTCATCTTCTGGAGGCCATGGTATTAATGAAGAGAACTGGTGCTTCATTTTCTTTTTAATACCTGCCTCTCAACAAATGGATCATTGTCAAATTACCTTTTTTTTAGTCAAAAGAAATGTCACTTGTTAGAGCAGGACAGATAAGAGGACTTTGGAGTCGGGAAAGCTAAATATGGTTGGAAGGCAGACAGACTTGAGTTTAAATCCTAGCTGAGCCCCTTACTAGCTATGGGACTTGGGATAAATTTCCTCACCTGCACAATGAAGATAATAATGTCTACATCACGTGGGAGACAAGGTAGCCAACCTATAGATACAAAATAGGCTCTAAGCTCTAATATCATCATCATCAAACTTCTGGTGGTGATCTTATTATGTGGCCAATCAAGGGATGCCAGGACACATCCAGCCTCTTTAAAGTTTGTGCAAGGCAAAAAAAAAAAAAATGCTGTTCCTTTCACGAAATAGTTTAAACTTACAAACTAAGCCATCTGTCTATAAACAAGCCTGGATATTTCTCCTCCATGCATCATGGACCCTGAGACCAAAACACTGCAGGAGTCAGGGGGATGCGGTGGGCCACCAAAGCAAGGGGATAAACCAAGGGGCTGATCCCACCCCTTCTTGACCACCGACTCATGTGATGTCCAGAAAGTCACTCGACTTCTCTGGGCCTCAAATATCATCGGGAGCTATGCATTCATGGAAAAGGACACCAAAGAATGGTACAGACCCTCATCAAATTCGTGAGGATGAAGAAATGAGCATGTGCCTGTCGCAGGGGTCAAAGAGGACTTTACTTGCAACGTTTATTTCATTTAAAGAACTTAAAGACTTGCAGCCAAATGCACCAAAAACTAAAAAGTCAGCCAAAGAGAGAGTTCGTATCTTACGCATCACATCCTCCTGACTTTTGAGAAGCCCTCGGTGGCAGCCAACAACCGCTCCTGTGCGCGCCGGGCTGCGCCGGGCCTCCCCGGGCCCCTGTTTCGGGAGAGGACCACCCCGAGGCTCGCGGAGGTGACCCACCCAAGGTCGCGCGGGCTCCCGGCCCAGGGCTGGGAAAGGAGGGCCGCAGTCCCGCCGGGCTCGGGGGGGCTCGGGCGGGCTCGGGCGGGCTCGGGCGGGCTCGGGGCCCCGCGGCTGGCCGGGGCGGGGGATGCTCACGCTCAGGCCGGGCTGCAGGAGGCCGTACTGCTCGGACAACCAGAAGCCGCGCCGGTCCTCCAGCGCGATGAAGGGCTGGTCGGGGAAGCGCGCGCGGAACTTCCTGAGGAAGCCGCCCTCGAAGTCGGCCAACACGCCGTCCATGTCCACCAGCACCCGCAGGGCGCGGCCGGCCCCCCGGCCCGCCGGCCCGCCCGACCGCCAGCGCCTCCCCGCCGGGAACGCCGCGCCGCGGGGCCGCCGCGCACACCAGCCGCCCAGCCGGATCATGGCCCCTGACGCTCGCTCGCCGCAGGCGCCGGGGCCCGGGCAGCGCCACCCCGCGGGGCCGGGCCGGGAGACATGACCGCGGGAAGCGGGAAAGAAACCCCTGCCTGCCGGGGGGGCGGGGCGCGGGCGGCGCGGGCGGCGCGGGGGGCGCGGGGGGCGCGGGGGGCGCGGGGAGCGAGCGCGCAGGCTCGGGCCCCAGAGCGAGGCTGCGGCACGCGCCCCGGCGGAGGCGGGGCTCGGGGGCGTGGCCTTGGGGCCAACCCGCAGTCCCAGGCTCCCCGGACCCCGGGCCTGGGCTCCTCCGTCCTCTCTGGCCGCAGCGGCCGCGCACCCCGCAGGTGGAGCAAGCCGGTGTCCCTGGGCGCTTACCAAACCTGACAAGGTTCCCCGTCCTGGAATGTACCTTGTAGAAGAGGAGACTGACGAAAAGCAAACAAGCGTACAAAACCGGCACACACACACACACACACCCCCAAAAAAAATTCAGAGGATGACAATCCTATGAAGAGACCAAAACAGGGTGATGGAGAGCCTCCCTTCCCTGCTTTATAGTGAACATCTGGGAAGAAGCTGATGTTAGTAGGACAAATAAGTACCTTGCAAACATCAGAAAGCCTTAATACTGGCGATTTTCAAATATATATATATATTGCTTTGTACCCTGGAATTGCTTTAAAAACAGGAAAAATTAAAAAACAAAGCAGGATGACGAGATGATGGAGAGGTGGGGAGACTGACAAGGTGGTCAGGGAAGGCTTCTTGCAGGAGGTGATGCTGGAGCAGAACGGGAAATGATGAGAATAGAGGGTGCGAGAATCAAAGACACCAAGTGGGCCAGACAGCCAGCAGCAAGCTCAAAGGCCTCAGAGAGTGGAGAAGCCAATGAAGCCACAAATTTTCATTCTTATATTTCTTTGGCACGGACTTGCTGAACGTCTCCTATGTGCTTGGTGGCAGATATCAAGCAGTGAACAAAGTCCCCACCCTCGTGGAAGGGACATTTTTGGATCTGTCTGAAATTATGGTGAAGCAAGGGTAGGATAGTCCACTCTTAGACCAGAGAGATAGGGCCACAAGGAAGCAGTGTGGCACAGTTGAAAAGTACTTGGGCTGTGGTGTCCCACTGACCCACGCTCCAGCTGAAACATAGTAGCTCCTCAGCACCCTGGCACAACTGGTTACTCTCCTGGCACCTCCTGGATTCAAGGGAACAGACTAGGTCTCATTCATCCCAGCGCCCTGAGTGAGTGAATGGGATCCCTGCAGGAACGTTTTCTGGTTATTCTCTGACCCCAGCTAAGACTTCCCACTGTGTATCAGAAGTTTCTTTTATTGCTGAATTCTATTTAATTGCATGAATATATGTCAGTTTGTCCACTCTCCCATTGATGCACATTGAGCTGTTTCTAGTTTGGGGCTATTATGAATAAAGCAACTATGAACTTATACAAGTCTTTGTGTGGATTTTTTTTTCTCTTGAGTAAATACCTAGAAGTGGGATCACTGAGTTCTAGAAAAAGGTACGTATTTAGTTTTATAAGAAACTATCAGACACTGAGGAGGGCACTTGATGAGATGAGCACTGGATATTATACTATATGTTGGCAAATTGAATTTAAATTTAAAAAATAGAAATAAATTTTAAATCTTAAAAAAAAAAGCCAAATTTTTTCAAACTGTGCCATTTTAAACACCCACAAGCAATGTATGAGAGTTCTATTTGGGGACGCCTGGTGGCTCAGCAGTTGAGTGTCTGCCTTCAGCCTAGGGAGTGATCCTGGAGTCCCGGCATCGAGTCTCCCATCGGACTCCCAGCATGGAGCCTGCTTCTTTCTCTACCTATGTCTCTGCCTCTGTGTGTGTGTGTCTCTCATGAATAAATAAATAAAATCTTTAAAAAGAGAGAGAAAGAGTTCTGTTTGCTCCACGTACTCCCCAACATTTGATGTTGTCAGTCTTTTTAGCTATTCTGGTGGGAGTGTTGGTGGTATCCCATTGCATTCTATTTTGCATGCATCGCCATGTTTTGTTTTTAATTTTTAAAATGATTTGCTTTATTGTTTATTTGTGGGTTTTTATTTTTTGCCTTCCCCCTTTGGAATGTATGTTGCATAGGGGTAAAACCTTATCTGGTGTGTTTAGTTATATGTCCCTAGTGCTTAGAACAGGGCCTGGCATATAGTATGTATTCAATAAATTCATTCGTGCATGTATTCAACAAATAGTTTTTGTGTGCCTTAAACAGAGCAGATATTACTAAACCCATTTGACAGGTGAGAAGACTGGCATCAAGAGACCAGAAGCACAGGTTCAACATAGCTGATAATAAATGGTAATCAGAGCTAACATATATGGATGCCTATGTACTCTGTGTCAGGCACTATCTAGGCTCTTTGTGGGAATTGTCTCACTTAACCCCACAAAGTTGCCATGAGGAATACTAATTTAAGCCATCTTAATGGATAAAAGCACTGAAGCACTGAGAGATTAATAACTTGCCCCTTGGTGTGGTCATTTGAAACAAATGATTTTAATACTTCTCCCATCACGAGATGGAACTGAATTCCTGTGCCCTTGGATGTAGGCTGGATTTACTTCTGCATTTCTGATCAATAACATGGGTGGAAATGCTGATTTGTGACTTCCAAGAATAGGTCATAAAAGGCGTTGTAGCTTCTCTCTCTCTCTCTCTCTCTCTCTCTCTCTCTCTCTCCTTCTCTCTCTCCTATTACTCTCCCTGCTATGTCTGTGGACACTCATGTAGCCCCACAGAGAGGTCCCCATGTTAAGGAACGCAGGCCTCCTGCCAACATCCAGAAAAGAACTAAGACACCCCCACCCCCACACACACCCCCATAGTCATGTGAGTGAGCCATCTTAGAAACAGACCCTTCTGCCCTAGTCAAGCTTTCAGATGAGGCAGCCTCAAGTAATATCTTGACTACAGTCTCATGAGAGACTCTGCTCAGAACCTCGCACCTCAGCTGCTCTCTGATTTGTAACTCAGAAATTGTGAGATAAGCGTTTGTCATTTCAAGCCTCTAAATGCCCCCTTTGGGAGCAATTTCACACAAAATAGATTACAAAGACACTAAGTCACTAGTAAACGTTAGAACAGAGATTCAGTTTTGTCCAGTTAGACTCCAATTGCGACAATGTGCATAATGATATTTATCTGTAAATGAGTGTCTCTCACGCTCCAGACTCTGTGAAATGGTCTCCATGCATTAGTAACTTTGATTAGAGTCTGGTGCCTGATCTTTGCACTGTAATGCAGCGACTGGGGGTGTGGGCTCTGGAGTCCAACTACCTGGGTTTTATTTATTTCATTTATTTATTTGTTAAGGATTTTTAAAAATTTATTTACTTGAGATAGGAGAGAGAGAGAAAGCACAGAGAGAGAGAGAGAAGCAGACTCCTCACTGAGCAGGGAGCCCGACGTAGGGCTCAATCCCAGGACCCCAAGGTCATGACCTGAGCTGAAGGCAGACACTTAACCAACTGAGCCACCCAGGGGCCCAAACCACCTGGGTTGCTTTTTTTTTTAAGATTAAAAAAAAAGATTTTATTTATTTATTCATGAGAGACATGGAGAGAGGCATAGAAAAAGGCAGAGGGAGAAGCAGACTCCCTGTGGGGAGCCTGACATGGGACTTGATCCCAGGACTCCAGGATCATGCTCTGGGCCAAAGCCAGGCACCAAACCGCTGAGCTACCCAGGGATCCCCACCACCTGGATTTTAATCCTAACTCTGGTACTTACCAGTTACAACACTCTGATATGTCTTTAAATATCACTTAGATTAGATTTCCCCATTTGCAAAATGGGAATAATAGTAGTACCCACCTCATAGTGTTCTTGTGGAATTATGTGACTTTTTACACTTACAGTGTTTGGAAATGGGTCTTGCACATAGTAGACACTCAATGTATACCAGTTGTATTACCTTGATAGCTGTTGATACTGTTACCTGATAGTAGTTTCCTATCAATCATGGTGACCTACACACAGCATGCAAGCACTTTATCTTGTTGTATCTTCACGATGACCCTATGAGGTAGGCATCAACATTTTACAAGGTAGACATAGCCTCAGAGGGGCAAAGTAACTTTTCCCAGGTCACAAAGCTAGTAACTAACACAGTTGGCCTGTGACAAGCCCATATGACTTCAAACCAACCCTTCCCATCATATGATCTTCCAGTCTCTGCATTAACCTAGATTGTCCACTAATTGGTTAGGGTAGACAAAGAACTGCCAGGGTCACCTGGGTGGTTCAGACAGTTAAGTGTCTGACTCTTGATTTCAGCTCAGATCATGCATAATCTCAGGGTCATGGGATCAAACCCTGCATGGGGCTCCACACTCAGCAAGGAGTCTGCTTGAGATTCTCTTTCTCACTCTCCCTCAGCACCCCCACCTTCTTTCTCATTAAAATAAACAAATAAATCTTTAAAGAGAAAAAAAGAACTCACACTTATTGAGGGCTTACTGTGTGCCAGGCACTGTGCCAAGGCTTTCCATATGTTCTCTCATTCACTTACATACCAAAGCAATGATTCACTACATATTTCCCCAGGTTCCTCCCTATGCTTGGCACACAAAAGGCATACAAAAAGTTCTTGTGGAATTAAAAATAGCCCAAAGTGTACAAAAGTTTATTTTTATGATAGAAAGGATTATTTTGCCCTACTGGTTGTGGACCTCACATGCCAAAAATATTGTCTTTAGATAAAATAGATAAGGATCTCTTGACTGGCACTCCCACCACTTGGGCCTGTGTCTTCTTCCATGGCCCAGACTAGTGTTTACTGGCAATTCCTCTCAGCCAACCTGGTGCTCGTGAGAAGAAAGCTCAACATCTCCATAGTGGTAGGCGGGCAGAAGGTTGGATCCACTCACTGTTCTTGCTCTCTCTACAGAGTATAGCTGCTTGTACTTGTCCGGACCCCTGTGCTGGTCTACACTGAGGTACATGTGACCCCCTTAGCCTTTTTCGGTGGCCTGCTTGCCCTA